AAAATTTGTTGCGTACATCCTCAGGGGACGAATCTCTTGAAGCATTACTAACATCAGAGGAGATAGATTGACTGCCACTTGTTCCAGTCTCCCAGAAAAGCATTTGGACACCAATCTTCGGTTTCTTCCAATCATAACAGATATTTCTTGGGTTTGTTATAGATGAGAGATGTAAAAAAGGATTGATCTTTGAATGCCGAACATTGGCATGAGGTTCAGAAATATGTCCATTAATCGAAATGAAAAGCAGCTACATAAAAGTGACTTTGTTTCTAAAGCATTGCTTATTTATTGAAATCTCTGAGTTATATACGTAATATGAATTAATCAAGTATGACAAGGAAAGTGCACCACTTGGTCTTGATTGTCTGAAGTGAATAAGGTATGACATTCGTGTTACTGACGCTGTAGACGTATTCTTTTATAATACATTGCCCCTGTTGGATGATTTAAGAATCAAAGACCCGTTGTCGACGTGATATGTAGAACAACGCAATTTTGAACACTTTCTCGGACACTCTTTAATTAGATAGGTTCAGGAAGACAGTGCTGTCTTTTATGTTCCACTGGAGGCCAAGCCATGGAAATTTCAATGGCTCGAGGAGAAATGAAGTGTCTGTAAAAAAAAAAAAAATATATATTATATATATATATATATATATATATATATAATATATTATATATAATATATATATATACATATATACATACATACATACATAATATATATGTGCGTGTGTGCGTGTGTGTGTGTTATATATACATATATAATATATAATATATATATGTGTGTGTGTGTGTGTGTGTGTGTGTGTGTGTGTGTGTGTGTGTGTGTGTGTGTGTGTGTGTGTGTGGTAATATAATATATATATATATATATATATATATATATATATATATATATATATATATGTATGGCGCATCATATAGGAGGAAGCTTTTTTTTTAGTGTGTTATACTGGGTGAGCTTGCCTTTTTTGTGTGATTCTGTGAGAGGCCGGGGATTCATTTGGTCAGAGAAGCGAATGAATCAGTGAACCGGCTCGAGACTTTGGCTCGAAGCCTCGGAGGTAATCCTCGCCAACCGAGAAGACCTGTTGCTTCAAGGTAAGACTGCTTCTTTTTTCGGTCATTATTTCTTTCTTTTTATTACATGGTACTCATGTCTAGTGTAGAGTATTTGTTACCGAGAGAGACGCACCCTCCAAAGTCGAAATCCCAAAACCAGGGTATCTTGCGAGAACCCAAAAAAACAAAACCTAACCTTTCCTACCTTGGGGCAAGCTCCTGTACCCCCCCCCCCCATTATTCGCACTTCCTGTTAACTTACAGAAAACGGACACAATCAGAGCTGTCAATCCAGTAATACCGTCTGCTTTTCAATATCCTATGACGTAGCTATGAAGTAGTTATGACGGAGTCGGGTGGGTATGACGTCAGAGTTGGTAGATGATTGATACCAGAAATGGCAGGATAATTGTTTATATAATATACGCAGATATATAGAACATATTCTTAACTTTTCTTACGTCCAGTACATCACATATGATATATGTAAACAATTTTTTTTGGATTGTGACCCATACAGTAATGACAACGAAAATATAACATAGGTAAAACTTCTATTTGCTTCTGTAGCGAAAAGGTATTTTCTGGAGGTTGCTAACGGCATGGAACGATTATTGAGAGGAAATAAATGCGAAAATATTTAATTTACTTCTGAAGTATTTGATATAACCAAAATAGACATGAAAGCATATATCTTCAGAGCGGTTCTTGGCACTATGATTACGTCACACAGATCCTCTCACAAATCCTCGAGTATTGGACAAATGCATTTTGGCAAGTCTGTGCACAATAACGAAACTAAAAAGATAGTTGCTGAAGAGGATCACTAAATGCACAAAAATAAACCTTTAAAGAAAACAGTTGTGATATCTCGTCTAAACCAGTCACGATTCCGACATTCTTTGCCAATCATAGGGCCAGTATATTCAGATTCAATTGTCGCGACAGCCCTGGTATAATACGCTCTAGCTGTGTGGAGGTGTTGAGAACATCCGTGAGCGGTGATAGGCAATGGAGACGTCATTTCGCAGGAAGTATGTGGAAGCAGCAGCTTTGTTTATAACTTTATTATAAGGTCTATTTTTTGAGGGGGGGAGGGAGAAGAGGGGATAGACATCTGAAGAGAAGGGGAGGTAGGTGTAGGAGAGGATGCGGGAGGAGATGATGGGATGGGTAGAGCGAAGAGGAAGAGGGGTAGGCACCCGGGAAGTGGTAGAAACTGAAGTGTCTGGATTTAGAAAGGCAAAAGAATTTGATTGGAAGAGGAGGGGTAGACGTAGGAATGTAAGGAGTAGGAGGAATGGATACTGAGGGAGATATAGAAACATCTTAGAGGGAAGGGGAGTGGCAGCGAAGGACAGCACCGGAATAGGGACCAAAAGAATGATCATGTCGGCGTGCTTCCTGCCTAGGATCACGTAAAGTGAGCCTGAAGTCGCATCTGAGGACTACTACAGTGGGCTATGGAGCGACAGTGGTTGGCAAGGTGGCCAAAACGCCAACATTAGACGAGGGAGGGGTCGATATGGTCGGAAATCGCAGGGCTCTCCTCCAATGTAAACTTCATGGAAATCATGTCTAGGGAAGGTAATTTTGGCAATAATGGTGTAGGATTTTCGTCGGCCTCTAGTATAGCAGTGTACTGAGTCTGCATCATTGTCAGCGAGGCAGGCAAGGGAGTCATTTTTAGTCCAACAAATCCTAGTCGTAGACAGGACAATGGGCCGGAGATGAAAAATATTAAAGGAAGAGTAAAGCTGGGCAGGATAGATAATGCAAAAGCTTGGGACTTACATGTAACAGTGACAAGGCGTGGGCGATCGGAACACCTGCGAAAGGAAACTTTACCTACTTGTTTTTGGAAACATTGTTGGACTAAAAAGAGTACTCAAATGAATTGTTGAGTTAGAAGTAGTTGAAGGATGAGGACGGGAGGAAGATGAATTGTTGCTGAGTGAGGTAGTACAGTGGAGGGGTTGATAGTAAGGATGAATAGTAGTAATAAGGGAGGAGGGGGTTGATGGAGTGGATGTTGAGAGAGAGGAGAGAATATTTTCAGAAGGTTGGATAATGACCTCTGTAACTTGAAATGGACTGAAGCTGAAGCAAGTATCAAGGAGGGGGTAGTAACAGCAGTGTTCAGAGTTGGGATCTAAGCAGAGCTCGTTGATAAAGGGGCTAATGCCCCTAATAAGGATACAAAATCATGATTGGCCCTGGTAAGCCTGGAGTGTATTGGGAATAGTTAATGGTTAAAACAAATAAATGTGCTAGACATCAATGTTCATGTAGCATTATGGTAAAGTATTGTGCAGAAAAGGGTAAAAATGTTAACAGCTATGATAAAATACGTTAGATGTCAAAGGTTATAGAACGTTAAAAGGGTAAAGAGGGGGAGCAAATGAAGTAAAGCGGAGATTAGTAAAAAGAGAAAGGGTGAAGGGATGATATGGAGTATATCTGTGGCTGGGGAAGGAATAGGAACATTGTTTAAGGAAAACTGGCAAAAGAGACCTCAAACAATCAGTGGGTAATATGGGTAGAGATGGCTGTTGGAGAAGTAGGAGGAGAATAATCCGGGGAATGAAATAGGGATTGGGGAAGGTACTGAAGTATCAGGAAGAATGCCAGGAGGGGAGGGGTCTGGAGAAGGGCAATGTTGCAACAGAAGGGATTCACTTGATCATCCAGGTGGGAGCGGTAATGATAGTGGGGATAGTGTTGGTGCACATGGAGAAGGAGAGGGTAGGGGGAATTTGAGGAGAATGGATATTGGCAAATACTTTGAATGTAGAGGGAATATAAGTAAAGGAATTGGAGGGTTAAAGAGGGAGCAGTGTTCCCTTGGGTCATGTTTAGGAAGTTTAGGATGTCTTCAAAAGTTGCTATAGGGTTGGAGGAGGTCTAAGAAACAAAGCTTCTCTTGTGAGGAGAAGAGGGAATAGATGTCCGAAGACCAGAGGAGGAAGATGTAGTAGGAGAAGATGGAGTGGAATGTTTAGGTTGCCTGGTGCAACAGGTAAAGTGAGGAGGATTTATACTGGAAAAGGAATTTGACTGGGGGAGTAGAGGTAGGATGGTGATGGGTAGAGGTAAGAGATACTGAGAAAGATGCTGAGACATCTTGAAAAGATGGAAGAGGCAGAGCGAAGGACAGTTTTGGAATAGGTAAAGAGAGAAAAACCTCGTCTGCGTGCTTCCTGTCTGGCCTCATGAAGAGTGAGCCCTAGTTTGACTCAGATCCGAGCATATAGGCAGGGTAAATCCTATAAAATACATTATGGGAGCCACCACAAATGATGCACGTACAGGACTGAGCAGAGCAATTTGAACAGGGTAAGGGGTAGGCAATTAACCAACGGAATACCGTGCCCATGGCTCCCAATGTGAGAGGTGAGAGCTGATCCCCCTACTTGGGCCTTAGTCTCTACTTGGGGGAAGCCCCCCATGACATCAATGAGCAAGGGAAGAGCGAGGGTGTATATTGGGAAGAGAAATGCTTCATCCCTCAGGGTTCCCATGAGGGTTTCAGCTAGACAACAAAATAGGGGAATACCCCGACTCCCTGAATTTTTCCCTGCATTTTTTTTTCTTTTCTTTATTCCCCATTGTAGGAGTCCCAAATACTTACTCATGTATACATACCAACACATTTACTTTATAAAAACAAGAAAAGAATAAAGACGACTCCCCATTATTTGAATTTACTTGCCTTTCCTTAGGATAAAAATCAGGGCAAAGGCTGCTTCTCAAGCCTATAAGAAAATTCATTGCCTAAAGGATGCACAAAATGTATATCCTATATTGCACATGCATTCATTTGGAAAGTTTTTTTTTTTTTTTTTTTTTTTTTTTTTTTTTTAAAAGTATATATTTTGAAGTAAATACTTGAAGTACTAGTGGTATCTGAAGGTATAAAAAATATAGGTGTATATAAAAAACACTTTTAATTAACCAGCTAACATAATCTACTGATACAACTTGCTTACAAACAAACATATCTCCAGTGTTCAACACTCAAAGGTTTAAACCTGTAGGATTCTGAATATGAGTACATTTCAAACATATCTGAACATATACACAAATTTTGCGAGAAATAATGCCTAAAAAAATGATAGTGACTTTCATCTGCTAAAATGTAGAATAAAAAAATGTCTTATTACTGACTGATCTTTGGATAGCACTTACATTAGCTTTGTACAAATAGTTATATTAATACCATCTGAGTTCTTTTAAATTTCCCTTAACAACTATGATCACATCAGAAAAGGACAAAGGAGTTAAAGTTATCAGATTTATTCGGTAAAGTTAGCAAATTTAAATATTTTGTTCTGTGTCAATATTTTTTTTTTATTCCAGGTGACAAGCCATCATATTATATATACCATATTTCTGTCTAATTCTTCCTCTGTAACAATTTATAAGTTCAGTTTCTACATTCATACCAATTTTTTAAAATGTATTATGAACATATATCTCACAATGATAATGACTCCTTCAAGAATTTCTTTGTTTATTCACCTGCACAGTGAGCTGTGTTCACAATATAACAAATACTTAAAACAACAACAAATCAAAAATAATCAGTTACTCCAGAAAACTCTCTTCTACCATGTGCATATTTTAATACAACTAAGGACACCAAAAAACATCTATTCACTTGTGTCTTGAGCAAAACCTTTGGTTCCTTTCACTTAGAAAAAACTAAAAATGCCATGAGTTATTTCTTTATATATAATACATATATACAAAATGTAAATGCAAGTGAATGCTACTTCTGTAAAAGGCACAGAATGCAAGCACTATTTCAAGCATTCCTAATTTCTGGACATCTACAGCTTAATACAAAGAGATTTGGTTCAATATATTTACAATGCTCCCTCTCATATTCGCCCCCCACATCATAAACATATCTGAAACAAAAGACATATATCCACAAACACAAATACACAAACACTTAAATAGTCATTCACTCATTATGGTGGGCTAATAAATTTTGTACATCCAATGATTTCACTCTTACACACATAACTTTGTAAACTGTGACTGATATATCATAAAGAATGAAGTCTCTAATCACCAACTGTATTTATACATAATAAATATAAATGAGTCAAACAGAATACTAGCATTTTAAGCAAGATTCTCCACACTATTCAATCTCCTTCCATTCATTAACCACTTTTGGGGGTACCATGCAAGAGGAATTATATAAGGCTACCTCTCCATTACACCATTTTTGTAAAGGGGAAAACAGATATTCGAACTTCACACATGGCAGCCTGCTTTATGTGGGACGGAATATGGCATAAACATTTATGTTCCTTTCAGAGAGGCTATTGGAAACCATTTAGTATGAGATGCTTCTCATGGCCCAAAACACATGGATTTCATTTTTAAAAATTCAAAATTCAAGCAACTTTGCCATGGATCAAAATTCCACTCAGCTGAGCTCTACAACAAAGAGACTTCATAATAAGCTAGTATGCAGGAGTACAAGACTGAAAGCTTCTTAAAAATATCTGGTCCACCTGTAATCAAATAATCTACAGTGTACAGATGCCAATTTTATAACCTTGAAGGATTTTATTCCTCTGAGAAGTGCCTAACAATGATTTTTTTTTTTATTATTTTTTTTTTACTTTATTGAAAATGTCTCTGAATTCAAATTTTCCTGCAATCGCTGTAAGAAGCGTACCCACACATGATATCACTGCCAAATATCAGCATACAAAAATGTTAAGCAATAGCTCATTAGTGTCACAATATGGACCAACAGGAGATAAAATGACACTAGTTAATAAAACTAGTAACCACACCTGGGAAAATCAGGTTACAGCATAAGGGCAGTTAGTAGAAGTCCAAATGTTGACCTATGCAAAATTAGTTTCTCCGATTTAAATCTTGCAAATGACTTTTCTGTATCAAATGATTTCAATTATAATATGCTCCAAAGTAAACAATCTTCTGCTGATGCTGCTATTATATATATGGTGATTTCTAAACTCCTGTCCTCATACAAAAACCTTGCATACATTTACTGCACCTAATGAACTAATGCCTATAAACTTCCTCGTAGAAAGTTTTAAAAGATATTAAGAAGGTATTATGGTCAGTTTAGCCGCCGATTGTAAGCAAAGTCCTGTATCACAACTTCCTCACATAACAGCAACCTTTGTGTTAACAGGCTCCGCTATACCACCCCAGCGAAGCTTGAATGACTTGTGACGCCAGCTGATAACAGGGTTCCATACGGCGTGCACAAAAATGAAGATAGCGCTTATTTCTCGGAACAACCAGCTGATCACAAATTCGAACTTGCTGAAGGGAGGAGGCCCATTCTGGAAAGGAGATAATATTTTTAAGTGAAACCTCAAAACAGGCTCCAAAGAGTGGACTTAGAATAAAAAGAACTCAGACAAGTATGTAATCTCAAGCTCTGATGACAGACCTACCCAGAGATAACAAAATATTTCATATCAAACTTCTCAAAATTAATGCTTATATTTAAAGGAATTACAAGAGAAAAAAAATTATAATAACGATGAGATGCTTATATTTAAAGGAATTACAAGAGAAAAACTATATAATGGCGATGAGAAATTGCACAAGAAAACTTACTTGCACTATATTGAGCATAATCCAGTCAGCAAGGGACCATGTAAGTGTGTGGAACAAGAAGAAAGTGAGGTAGTCTGCACGCAGTAAAACAGCACCCGCCCAGGATGCTATAAGCCCCAGCACCATACATTCACTGAGTGGCTCAAGAAACAAAGTGTGTGGTACCATAGCTATACGCAATTTACACCATCTGTAAAGAAACATTTTTTTGTTCACGTTAATAGGAAGACCAAGAATATTTCACAATTTTAGGACTTCAAATATTCACTCAAAAGTCTTAAAACTATTCTCACAACCACTTTGATTAGCTAATGGTAAATTCTATGCTTTTCTGTTTCTAGAACACATGCACATAATAGTAATTCACTAACTTGATAATGATCAAGTAACTGAACAAAGTTTCATTTACCCCTACATGTCTAATAACCAAAGAACTAGATATGGTACCTTTAAACTTTTCACAACCTAGAATAGCTTTATATTTTCATATTAGAATAAAATTGACATCTCTATATCATTTAGAGCAATTAAATAATTAGCAATTAAATAATTTTAAAAAGGCCTTGCTGTTAGCATGGAAGATGCTTACAAACAAATCTTCTTGACAACTTCCTGGTGCTTTCACCTCCTCTGACATGCACATTTTAGTCCTTTTGTTCATATCCAAACCCACATCTTAACAACTGCCTTAACTGAAGGCAAAGGCTTTATCTGGATAAAACTATCTTGGTTAACTAAACTTTAAACTAATTGGTACCTTTCTAAAAGAAATAAGTATATATGACGAGCAACGAATCTTAATGGTTTCAATAACCCCTCAAATCGCATTTAATGTCAACAATGAACAATGGAAATGATGCATAACCCTTTTTTCATTTAACATTTCAGCTTAGACAATTTGCCCTTGTTAGTTAACCAGCAACCATCTCCCAGCAAAGGGTGTACATGAATAGTAAATTTTTTTTCTTCTTCTTCTTTTTTTCTTTTTAATCATATAAAAGGGTTGAACAAATGAAAATCCATACCTTGTTAATCTCGACAGAAATCCCTTCACTCGAGTTGTTCCAGCATTCTGACATGCTGGCTGAGAAGAGATGCGAATGCCCCATCCTCGGCCCTGAATGTACTTAGCAAAGAAGTAGTCCTCAGCTAAGTATACGCCAAAAGCACTAATGCCTGTGGAAGCAATTTCAATTGTCTTAGAAATTCACATATACTGAAAATCTACCTAAAAATTGACCCATATATAAATTGATTACTAATAATAATAATTGCACATATTACATTACATATACCAACTATTTTTCATATGTGATCCTTCCTTCAACTGACCTCCATCCTCATCCAGGACCTTCTTCCTCATCAGGCAGGACATGCCGGTACAGCAGTTGACTCTCAAGCCAAAAGCGTCCAAGAGTCCAAGGAAAAGATACATCCTTGCATGACTAGTCCCAAAGTATACCTAAAATGCACAGAGAATGAGTTTGCTTAATTTTCTGTCATATGTATTATTTAGATAATTGCATACATATACATATACAAATAAATGCACACATACACATATACATACAAACAACATGGACACTCATACTGTCATTGTGACAAATAAAGAGATAAGAATGAGAATGAACATCTTTACAGTGCAAAGGGTGTATTTGACCATTTCAATTTTATCTTTGAGAAAGATATAATTTAAACAGTGAAATACACCTCCTGCACTGTGAAGATATTCTCATTCATACCTTTTCTACATGTACACATGGATATAAATACTGTATGTATGCTAAATTCATATCTCATATGCAAGTTTGTAGACAAACAAACAAACACACAAAATTTTAATTCTCAAGGAACTTCAGGAGCATTATTTTATTGGTGGCAATTTGGAACTATTTTTCTGATTCTTTACCTTTTTCCCCCTTTTTTTATTTCAGCAACATATTCGGAAGCAAAACAATGAAATTTAGCTGCCAGCAGATAATCAGAAGTGCCCCACCCACACAGCTGATTGAAATGATATTCATAAAAAATGTCTCTCAAGGTTAATCATAACTTCAGTTCATAAAAGCACCAATGGCAAGGGTTCAACCTTCACATTGATAATATGATGATGGCTTCATATCACCTTCATGTTACCAGGGTTTGATATATATGTTCCCTCTACTGAAAACGCATTAAGTAAATAATAATAATATAAGTATGTACACATACGCATGTAAACAGACATATAATAAATATATAAAAAGGATCAGGAAATGTGCAGAATAAAACATAGCACAGCATACAGAAGTAGACAGACGTATTATTGATATATAAAAAGGAATGGGAAATATGCGGAATAAAACAACATAGCTCAGCATGCAGAAACTGCTACCCCCGTCAGCCCTGGAAGGAATTAACCTGCAAAGTTCATGGACTTCCCAGAATCCACTTGTCATTCCAACCCATTCTCCCCCCCCCCCTCCATCCCTTGCCTCCAGCACCACAAGGGCAGCTTCAAATTAGGAAAGAATTGATGTGATTTTTCCACTATGCTAAAACCACTAAATCCCACACATCACGCCCACCACTGCTTATCAGACGCTTATCAGGAGTGTATCCCCTGATATGAAGTCCATAAAATCATTCAATTAAAGTCCAAGTTGATAGCGAGTGTGTGTGTGTGTGTGTGTGTGTGTGTGTGTGTGTGTGTGTGTGTGTGTGTGTGTGTGTGTGTGTGTGTGTGTGTGTGTGTGTGTGTGTGTGTGTGTGTGAGTGTGAGTGAGTGTGAGTGTGAGTGAGTGAGTGAGTGAGTGAGTGTGAGTGAGTGAGTGAGTGAGTGTGAGTGAGTGAGTGAGTGTGAGTGTGTGTGTGTGTGTGTGTGTGTGTGTGTGTGTGTGTGTGTGTGTGTGTGTGTGTGTGTGTGTGTGTGTGTGTGTGTGTGTGTGTGTGTGTGTGTGTGTGTGTGTGTGTGTGTGTGTGTGTGTGTGTGTGTGTGTGTGTGTGTGTGTGTGTGTGTGTGTGTGTGTGTGTGTGTGTGTGTGTGTGTGTGTGTGTGTGTGTGTGTGTGCGTGTGTGTGTGTGTGCGTGTGTGTGTGTGTGTGTGTGTGTGTGTGTGTGTGTGTGTGTGTGTGTGTGTGTGTGCGCGGCTCGCGCGCGCGTCGGAAAACGTGTTCCTAAGCTGTTTTCTTCTTTCTTTTTTTTCTCGGTAATTCATTTAAACAATAAGAAATGACTGGAATAAATCATGATCCTCCTGTGTTTATGTTAAACATACTACAAACGGCCAGGAATGCAGATGTAAACAAAAGAATTACTACAAAGCAAACGCTGTGCGTCCCTTCGGTATTTTCATTGCACACGTAAAACAGCTAAAGTTGTGCATGCCTTTTGTCGAATACAAAGGCCGGCCCTCGTATCAAGAAGCCATTCACATCCTCCGAGACCATGTCCTCACGACCTGAAACCTCGCGAACTTCTTTTTCATCAACTCGCGATGACATTCTGGGCCTGTTTCGAGAGGAATTTAAGAGCCCTCAAAGTACGCAACGAAATGTGGCATGAATTTTGCGTAGTGTTTGCGGCCCTCCAGTGCCCGCCTGTTTCTCGCCGCCCTGCCGATACTGGACGTGCAACCCGATAACCTTCCCCGGGGCACTCTGGCCTCTGCCTAGCTACAGCGCGGCTCCGACCCGATCTATACAAGAGGCGAATATAGGGGAGAAATATGCTAATACCCAGGGGCAATGCTGTAATTGTAGTTCCCATATATACGCTCGAGGAATGCAAAAGAGCATGGGCCTTTCCGCATTTATAAGCAACTTCCTCTTCTTTTAACCCTCCCTTGGAGCGAGGACAACAAGTTCATAGATGCAACAAGTATGTGATTTACCAATATTGCTTCCTGCATGTTGAACGAGTACATCACCACAAGCTTCCTTTACAGGCAAAACGACTCTCGAGTTTCTACTTAAAACAAAGACATGGACATACACATGCATACCAATGCCACCCCCCCCCCACCCCCCTCCGACGACGCTCACCTTTTCCAGTATAGCAGGCCAGCCCTTCCTGTCGCAAGTGAATGGCATCTGGTGCACGATGCCCACGTCGGGGGTCATGTGAGCCACCATGTCCGTAAGCGTGTCCTCCTTCATGAGGAGGCCCGAGTCGGACACCAGCACCAGCTCGTGCTTGGCCGCGAGGTACCCGGGCTGCATGTTGTTGATTTTGGGGTTGACGCCGACCTCCACGCCACCTGCGGGGCAACAGGACGTCTGAGATTTGTCGCAGCTGCATCATGGCATGCCGTCATGGGGAAATTGTGTAATCACCAAAGAATCATATATGCATGACAGAAGGAGGAAATACTTCCGTTACAAAGTAATAAAAATAAGATGATAACGACGTTAACGGAAGCAGTAGTAATAAAAATCACTATCATTATTGATAATTTTGATAATCATGTCAATAACACTATCATCCCTAAGGTAAAACAACAACGTTACACCCTAAGAGAGAGACCAGCCCAAAATAAAATAAAGTAACTATTCTAAGGCATGCGAAGAGGCTCCTCACCTATGAAGTACGAAGCGTCGACATGTGGGTGCTTCTTCATAAGCTGCTGCACGATCATGATGCTTGGGTCGCCCTCCTCCTGGATGCAGAAGAGGAGCTCGAACTGGGGGGGAAAAAGATAACGTGTTACTCCTACTTTAGCAGTTCTGAAACTTTTTTTTTCGACAAGGATCAAAGAGGAAAATAAGCTTTATTTTCGTCCCACTCAGCTGGCCTCATGGAAGTCTTTGATGCTTATTCCGGTTTTGTCGTCAACTGTATTATTGTCTGCCTTTTTACTCGTGTTTATATTTTGTTTGTTTTGTTTTTATACCTTTTTTCTTACTTTATCCATTCGTCGCCAACCTCTATATTCTTTCCCGGCGTGTCCTCTCTCCCCAGTCCCACTGAAACCGCCGTCGGTCAAAAAGCGTTCCCTTCCCGTACGTCTCAGCCACTTTCCCGCGAACCTGAAGATCTTGTTGTCCCGAAAGTTGCATAACCATGCCCTGTTCTCGTCAGTCTTCGAGAGAGGGACCTTTGCCACTTGACACATGAAGCGATTCTTGTTTTCCTTGGCAATGGCATGGCCTTTCGTATGAAGTTCAGTGTCCTTGGCAATGGTATGGCCTTTCACGTAGTTCTATGTCCTTGGCAATGGTATGGCCTTTCGTATGGTAGTTCTATGTCCTTGGCAATGGTATGGCCTTTCGTATGTAGTTCTATGTCCTTGGCAATGGTATGGCCTTTTGTATGAAGTTCAGTGTCCTTGGCAATGGTATGACCTTTCTCGTACGTAGTTCTATGTCCTCAATGTTCAGTGTCCTTGGCAATGGTATGACCTTTCTCGTACGCTATGTCCTTGGCAATGGTATGGCCGTATGTAATGTCCTTGGCAATGGTATGGCCTTTTTGTAAATAGTTCCATGTATGTAGTTCAATGTCCTCAGGATAATGGCCGCGCAACGGGGGACTCTCACGTAAAATACGATTTTTTTTCCCTCGCAAGCAGCGGACTTTTCGTGACTTTTCGCATTCCTTCCAACCCAATTCAACATCAATGCGGCATTCTCACTGAATATTACGAGCGGCGGTTCGATATCTTAATTCGCAATAAAATCCAGTAAGCCATAATCGCACCGATATTATCAACACAACAACAGGAAGGAAGCACGTTTTGAATTCAAATAAAAAAGAAGAAGAAAGGAGAACAATGACAAGAAAGATGAAAAAGAAGACGAAGAAGGGAGAAGAAGAAAGAAAAATAACAAGATAGGAAAAGAAGAAAGGGAGAAAAGAGGAAGAAGAATGTAGAAGAAAAAGATAAGAAAGAAGAAGAGAGAAAAATAACAAGATACGAAAAGAAGAAGAAAGGGATAAAAGAGGAAGAATAATAAAGGAGAAGAAAAAGATACGAAAGAAGAAGAGAGATAAATAACAAGATAAGAAAAGAAGAATCAAGAGAGAAAGAAAGAAGAAAAAAGAGAAGAAGAAGAGAAAAAGATGAGACAGACAGAAGACTCACACGACATGACTGCGGCAAGTTAGCAGCACAAGGTCAAGAAAAGAAAAGAAAAAAAAAAAGCGTTTACCCTGGCCTTGAGTTTAGTCGTAAAGGCGGATCAAAACAAAGGTATAACCCCCAACGACTCCAACGACCCCCTCTGTCCCTCCTCCCGCTCTCCCTCGAACCCGGACGCCCCTTCAAACCCGGGCAATACGTGGACCTCCTTTTCAACCTCCCATTACCCTTCCCCCTATCCTGCCTCCTTCCAATCCTTAACTCTATTCAGACCCTCCATCCACTCCTCTCCTCCCCCTCCCCTTACCCTACCCTATTCACTCCTCCTCCTTTCCACCCTCCACCCTCCCCTCCCTCCCCCTCCCCTCCCCCTCCCATTCACTCCTCCACCCTCCATTCCCTCCTCGCCACCCTCCACCCTCCACCCTCCACCCTATTCACTCCACCCTCCACCGCCCTCGCCTCACGACCTACGGCACCGCTATCTACGCCCGCCTCTCATGGATACTGAAGACGGGCGCCGTGAGTGGCGGGTCCTCGTCTCTTGCAGATTTCCCGACAGCTGTTTCTCTCGCCGCCGGTGGGAAAGCGCCTTTTGGCAGCGGCGAGAGCGAGGGGAGGGGGAAAGAGGGGAGGAGGGAAGGGAAGGGAAAGGGAAGGGAAGTGGAGAAAAAAGGAAGGAAGGGAAGGGAAGTGGAGATGGAGAAAAAAAGGAAAGGAAGGGAAGGAAGTGGAGAAAAAAGGAATGGAGAAAAAAGGAAAGGAAGGGAAGGGAAGTGGAGAAAAAAGGAAAGGAATGGAGAAAAGGAAAGGAAGGAAGTTTGGAGTGGAGAAAGGGAAGTGGAGAGGAAAGGAAGGGAAGGGAAGTGGAGAGGGGAAGGAAGGGAAGGGATTTCGTGCGTTAGGAGAGAGGTTGTAGGAGGGAAGGCAAGAGAAAGGAAAGAGAGGAGGGAGCGTGAGACAGTGACTAAAATGAGAGAGAGAGAGAGAGAGAGAGAGAGAGAGAGAGAGAGAGAGAGAGAGAGAGAGAGAGAGAGAGAGAGAGAGAGAGAGAGAGAGAGAGAGAGAGAGAGAGAGAGAAGAGAGAGAGAGAGAGAGAGAGAGAGAGAGAGAGAGAGAGAGAGAGAGAGAGAGAGAGAGAGATGATGGTGTAGGAGTAAGAGAAACAATAAGGGAAAGATACACCCGAGCAGAAAGAAAAGAAAAGCAAAAACAAACAAAAGAGAGAGGAAGGGGCGAAGGATGCAGCAGCGGCGGCGGCGAAGAAGAAGAAGGACCGGAGGGGGGGCGGCGGCGCCGAGTAAAAGTGGTGCTCACGAGAGGGCCGAGTGGAAGCCCGGCCGTGGACACGTGATCGCCGCCCGTGGGTCAGGAGTCCCCCTCGCCTCCCCGCCGGCGTCGCCAAGGTCATGCCTGGCCGCCGAGCCTCTGCCCCGCTCCTCCGATCTGGGTCAAGGCCAGCATTGTCCTCCCCCCCCCCTCCCCTCCAATCTTGCTTGCACGCGTACTTGCTCCAACTGCCAGCGAAAGTCTCGCCATTCACACCCTAACCGGTTCCTCCTGCGGTGCGGCGGCGTGGTCACGACTCGCCAGGCCCCTACTAGTGGCTCCTCCCTTCCCTACCTCCCTCCGGCCCGCTTATCAACACTCCCTCTCTTCCCTCTTCCCTCTTTCCTCCTCCTCCTCCTCTCCTCCTCATCTCCTCTCGTTCTCATCCCCCTCTTCCCTCTTTCCTTCCTCCTCTCCCTCTCCTCTCGTTCTTATCCCATGTCCTCCCGAGTGGAACATCGGCTATATTTACCCCCGTGCCTGCCCCCCCCCCACCCCCCCGCCCACCCCGTCATCTGCTCCGCGGGTGACACGAGAGGATACGAAGCTCCCTGTGTCTCTCTCTCGCTCCTTCCGCCCTCCTTGCCCCCTCCCTCCCTCCCTTCCCTTCCTCCGTCCCCAACGAGCGAGGAGACACGCCAGCAGGACTTCACACGGGGAGGGGGAGGGAGGGGAGGGAGGGGAGGGGGAATCTACCGAGTGGCCGCCCAAACGACGCCAATCCCCCGAAAAAAAAAAAAAAGTGTAGCTCCACATACCGATCTCCCTTTCCTGTTACTACCTGGCGAGGTTTTTTGGCGGGATCGGCGGGATCGGCTCGGGATCGGCTCGGCTTGGCTTGGCGGCGGATCTGGTCCCGTAGCGAACTTCCGCGAGACGCTAGACTCGGGCCACGGGAAACATTTGGCCGTGCGGGGGGGGGGGGGGGGGGGATCGCTCGACACGGATGGATGGATGGATGGATGGATGGATGATGGATGGATGGATGGATTGGTGGTGGTGGTGGTGGTGGTGGTGATGACGGTGGTGGTGGTGATCGCTCGACACTATGGATGATAATGATGATGATGATGATGATGTGGTGATGGTGATGATTGATGATGATGATGAGATGATGGATGGTGGTGACGATGACGATGACGATGACGTGATGGTGATGGTGATGGTGCTGCTGCTGATGGTGATGACGGTGATCGCTCGACACCTATGGATGAATGATGATGATGGTGGTGATGGTGATGATTGATGGATGATGTGATGATGATGATGATGATGACGATGACGATGACGATGACGATGACGACGACGACAACGACGACAACAATAAACATGAAGTAAACAAACGGAATGCCCCGATCACCTCCAATCAAAAACACTATCACTCCCCCCCCCCCACCCTCCAAGGTACTCCGAGGCCCTCCTTCCCCGCCAGCCCCCCCACCCCCACCCACCACCCATGGGACGGCGACAGCGACCCCTCGACGCCAGTCTCCGCCCGGCATCCCACGCGACACGTCCTACAACAACAGACACGCACACACACACACACACACACACACACACACACACACACACACACCACACACACACACACCACACACACACACACATACACACACACACACACACACACACACCTACACACACACACATACACACACACGCACACGCACCACACACAACACACACACACAAAAACTCTTGCCACCAAGATTTCCGCCGCGACGCTTTTCCTTTGTAACGGCGCCCTGCTCGCTTCTTCGCCTCTCTCTCCTCCTCCGCCTCCTCGTCTCTTCGCCTTGCCTTCTCGCCTATTCGCCTTGAATCCTCCCCCGCCTCTCCTCTTCACCTCCTCTCTTCTTCGCCTCCTCCTCTCTTCACCTCCTCCTCTCTCCCTCCCCGCCTCTCCTCTTCGCCTCCTCGTCTCTTCACCTCCTTGCTTCTTCGCCTTGCCTCCTCCCCGCCTCTCCTCTTCGCCTCCTCGCCTCTCCTCTGCGGTTTTCCCTTTCCTCCTTTCCGCCTTACCCCCTCCTCCGCCCTATTTCCCAGGTCCTATCGCGTTTAGGGGGTAAGTGTGAGTGTGTGCGAGTCAGAATGTGAGTAAGAGTGAGTGTGTGTGAGTCAGAATGTGAGTAAGAGTGAGTGTGTGTGAGTTAGAATGTGAGTAAATGTGAGTAGAGTGAGTGTGTGAGAGTAGTAAAGTGAGTAGCTGTGTGAGTAAAAGTAGTAAGTGAGAGTAAGTATGTAAAAGTTGAGTAAGTAAGAATATGAAAGCGTGAGTGTGTGTGAGTGCAAGTAATAATACGAGTACATTCCCCTCGCACTCTCAGCGTGACAAGGTCATAAACGAATAAAAATGCAAGGAAAATAACAACAAAGAACGCAATCACACCGCAACAAAGTGCAAAACAACACCCGGGCGAGAGAACACTTCATTCCGGGGACCTTTCCCAACCACGCTACGAAAATGAGCTTTACTTTCATTCACTATTTTCCTTTTGGATAAATTTTTTTTTCACCGGTTTATGGCTCAGCGCGATGTCAAGATTCTCTTAAGTATATTTTGTTATCTATGTGTATACGTTATTTATTATCTATTTATTTAACTATGTATCTATGAGTGTGTGTGTGTGCGTGCGTGCGAATGCGTGCGTGTGCGTGTACGTGCGTGCGTGCGTGTGCGTGTGCGTAACTGTGCGTGTGTTTCATTTGTAAATCTACAAACGAGGAACGAACCGACGCCAAATGATGCGTCCTAAGAGTGCCTGGCACCCCCACCCCCTCCCCCACCCCACCCTTACCCCCCACCCCCTACACAAGAGAAATCTGCGCCGTCGACCCGACAAGTGACGGCTCATTCCACCATCCGAAGACTCAGCAGCAAGCGAGTCCCAAGCCTTGAGGGTCATAAGTCAGCGGTCGGGCCACGTCAGCGCTCCGGACTACAATGGGTTCCCTCTCTACATCCTCCCCTATCCTCCTCCAATCTTCTCCCCTCGTCCTTCTCATCCTCCTCACCTCTCCCCTTCGTCTCCTCCTCCTCCTCCCAATCTTCTCCCCTCGTTCCTATCCCCATCCTTCCTCCCCTCGTCCTCCTCCCTCCTCCTCCCATCCTTCTCCCTTCGTCCTCCTCATCCTCCCCATCCTTCTCCCCCTCGTCCTCCTCATCCTCCCCATCCTTCTCCCCTTCTCCCCTCCTCCTCCTCTCCCCTCCTTCTCCCCTCTCCTCCTCCCTCCTTCTCCCCTCCTCCTCCTCCTCCTCCTCCTCCTCCTCCTCTCCTCCTCCTCCTCCCGGCCTCCTCCGCCTCTCCACGCGAGGACACTTGGACGCTTAATATTCCTGTTCCTCCGCCGAAGGCCAAGAGGCCGGGCGGGACACACGAGGGTGATGTGTCGTCTGGAGTGATGGGCGGAATGCGTTGACCAAACATCATTATACGCGCTACGCCGAGGCGGTACGGATGAGCATCAATATCTTCACAGTACAGGAGATGTATTTGGCCGGTTTCGGATATATCTTCGTCAGAAATACGATCTTCAAAATACAAGAGATGTATTTGGCCGGTTTCGGATATATCTTCGTCAGGAATACGTGATCTTCAAATTACAAAAGATGTATTTGGCCGGTTTCGGATATATCTTCGTCAGGAATACATGATCTTCAAAATACAAGAGATGTATTTGGCCGGTTTCGGATATATCTTCGTCAGAAATACGTGATCTTCAAAATACAAGAGATGTATTTGGCCGGTTTCGGATATATCTTCGTCAGAAATACATGATCTTCAAAATTACGAGATGTATTTGGCCGGTTTCGGATATATCTTCGTCAGAAATACCCGATCTTCAAAATACAAGAGATGTATTTTGACCGTTTCGATACATCTTCGTCAGGGATACATGATCTTCACAATACAGGAGATGTTTTTTGACCGGTATATATCTTCGTCAGAAATACCCGATCTTCAAAATACCAGAGATGCATCTGACAGGCTTCGAATATATTACCACCAGACACACACGACCTTCACCAATGCGAGAAGACCCATGCTAACTCCAACCAACCACATCTACCCTACACCTCGACCATCCACCGAGAACCAGAACCGACAATTTTTCGTTTCCTTCCAGATTATTAAAAAAAAAAAAAAAAAAAAAAAAAAAAAAAAAAAAACTGCTGGCTTGGCTTCAGAACCACCGCGACTGGAAGAACATTATGGCGGTGAGTTATTTCTTTCGGGTTCCCCACCAAACCCTCCTTAATGTCGGATCTGCGGGTCGCTCTATATGTCAGCGCCGGTCGGTCTGTCTGTCTGTTTGTTTGTTAATCCATCCGTCTATATTTTATTTGATTTGTTTGGCTGAATTGGTTTGTTTTATGGTGGCTTTGATGTTACAGTTTGTATTTGCTTTCTTTGCTGGTTAATAGCTGCTCGTCTACTAAAAATGACAGCACGCAGTAAAGAAAATTATGTGTAACATATCTACTAATTTAGTATGTTCGTACGTGCGCACACACACACATATTCTCTCTCTCTCTCTCTCTCTCTCTCTCTCTCTCTCTCTCTCTCTCTCTCTCTCTCCTCTCTCTCTCTCTCTCTCTCTCTCTCTCTCTCTATCTATCTCTCCCGTACATACATACATACATACATACATACATACATACATACATACACAACACACACACACACACACACACACACACACACACACACACAACACACACACACACACACACACACACGCACACACACACACACACACACACACACACACACATCCACCACCCGCCCTCCGCCTCACCTTAGGATAGTTGAGTGTGAAAAACGTCTCGAGGTTCGTCATGAGGTTGGGATCCATGGGCGTGCCAACCAAGGGCTTCAGGATGCTCACGCCCATCACTCCGGGCTCTCCATCCATGGGCAGGGCGCGGCGACGATGGAGCTTCCGGTACCTGCAAGAGAGAGAGAGAGAGAGAGGTCAAAATCTACGACCTAGAGACATGGGCGGTCAAAGCTACGACCGAGACACATGGGCGGTCAAAGCTACGACCTAGAGACATGGGCGGTCAAATCAACGACCTAGAGACATGGGCGGTCGAAGCTACGACCTAGAGAATTGGGCGGTCGAAGCTACGACCAAGAGACATGGGAGGTCAAAATCTACGACCTAGAGACATGGGCGGTCGAAGCTACGACCTAGAGACATGGGCGGTCGAAGCTACGACCTAGAGACATGGGCGGTCGAAGCTACGACCTAGAGACATGGGCGGTCCAAGCTACGACCTAGAGACATGGGCGGTCGAAGCTACGACCGAGATACATGGGCGGTCAAAGCTACTTAGACATGGGCGGTCGAAGCTACGACCTAGAGACATGGGCGGTCAAAATTCACGACCCGAAGACTGGGTGGGTCAAAATACCTGTTGTCGAGCGTCAAACTGCCGAGTAAAGTACTACATGAGTCAACGCTGTGCTTATGGGCATGTTTATGGGCATGTTCAGAGGGTTTTGCAACTGCAGGGGGTGCATGCATGGTATTTGTGGCATTGCATCGTGCGTCGTCGCTACTGCTGCTGTTGTTTTGTTGTTGTTGTTTGTTTTCGTTGTTTTATTTTGTTGCTTTTTGTTGTTCTTGTTCTTGCTGTTGCTGTTTGTTTTTTGTTGTTGTTTTTTTGTTTGTTGTTTGTTTTTGTTGTTGTTTTTTTGTTGTTGTTGCTTATTGTTGCTGTTGCTGTTGTTTTGACTGACGCAACGCAAGGGCTCAAACCGCTGACAGGCATATCAGCGCTGCGAGTGACACCTGCTGAGCTGTGACGAAAGATATGTGCTCTTTTGTTTTGGGTGTTTGCTTGTGTTTTTTTTGCGGCATGTTTATCTAAACATATATACAATATCAATGTTTACAATCGTGTTGATGTCAATACGATACGAGTCTTGCAGTTTGAGCCATCCGTTTTTTTTTTATAATTACTTTGTTTTGGTCTAAACCATAGGGACACATTATTATTATGGATGATTGATGATGGGTGGGGTGGTGGTGGTGTGTATGGTTGGTGGTTGATGATGGTGGTGGTAATGATGATGGTGGTGTGATGATGGTGGTGGTGGTGATTGATGTGTGGTGATGATGATGATGGTGGTGGTGATGATGTGATGATGATAATGATGATGATGATGATGATGATGACGACGACGACGACGATGATTGATGACACGACGACGACGACGACGACTATTACTACGACAATGACAACGACGACGCCAAAGACAGAACAGCGCGGATGGCGAAGGACGCGTAGACTCCCCCCCCCCTTCCAACAGCAGAATCGGAATCCCAGGCCGCTGAAACCCCCGCAAACGGCATGTTTTCGAAGGACCAATTATCCCTGACCACAAGGAGCGCCAAGGTCCGCGAGGGGCGCCGCGAGGTCTGACCTATTTCGGGCGAATCGGTCTCAGGTCAGGCCCAAGAGATGGGGGAGGGGAAGGGAAGGGAAGGGAAGGGAAAGGGAGCGAAGGAAGGAAGGAAGGGAGACGAAGAAGGTAGCGAGGAAGGGGAAGGAAAAAGGAAGGGGGAAAGGGACAGGGAAGGGTTAAGGAAAGGGACAAGGGAGAAGGAAAGGGACAAAGAGAAGGGTTAAGGAAAGGGACAAAGAGAAGGGTTAAGGAAAGGGAGAATAGAAAGAAGCAGGGAGGGGAGAATGGAAGGGAGAAGGACCAGGTACAGAGGGAAGGAAAGACGAAGAGAGAAGAAAGGCAAGGGAGAAGAAGGAACGCACAGCGAATGGAATAAAGGCAGGAAGAGGGGGAACGAGTGCAAACCAAAAGCAAGGCGGGGCGTGGATAGACAACACAGGAAGGGAATGGAGGGTCGCGACTAGTGAGGAAGCGAAGAGGCGAACGAGAACCAAAACAAGGGAGAGGAGAGACAGGAAGAGAGGGAGAGGAGAGACAGGAAGAGAGGGAGAGGAGAGACAGGAAGAGAGGGAGAGGAGAGACAGGGAGGGACGGGCAAAGGAGACCGCAAGACGCCACACCGGCGATTGGACAAGCAACCAAAGCCACCTCAAAGCCATTCCGCCAGAATCTAATGTAAACAAAGGCCGCGATCACTGGAACAAAATAATCCATGTCGTGTGTGAAAAAGAATGAAGAAAGGATACTGAGAGAGGGAGAGGGAGAGAGAGAGAGAGAGAGTGAGAGAGGGAGAGGGAGAGGGAGAGGGAGAGGAGAGGGAGAGGGAGGGAGAGGGAGAGGGAGAGAGAGAGAGAGAGAGAAGAGAGAGAGAGAGAGAGAGAGAGAGAGAGAGAGAGAGAGAGAGAGAGAGAGAGAGAGAAGAGAGAGAGCGAGAGAGAGAGAGAGAGAGAGAGAGAGAGAGAGAGAGAGAGGAGAGAGAGAGAGAGAGAGAGAGAGAGAGAGAGAGAGAGAGAGAGAGAGAGAGAGAGAGAGAGAGAGAGAGAGAGAGAGAGAGAGAGAGAGAGAGAGAGAGAGAGAGAGAGAGAGAGAGAGAGAGAGACAGAGAGAGAGAGAGAACAAGAGATAAAGAGAAAAAGAGCTAGATAGAACAAAAGAGAAACAAAAAGAGAAGAAAAAAAATCAAACGAAAGCAAAAAAAAAAACAAATCTCCCTCACACGGAAATCCCCCATTACCCCCAATACCACCCCACCCCACCCCCACCCCACCCCCAACTTCCTCTCCCGCGACCCCGGCGATCACACTCTCCCATTAGTCATTCTCAAACCGGGATTCCTTCCTATCCTTCCTATCCTTACGTCCTGCGCGGATAGACGGACGTCCCTGGATCAACCGACCAGCTGACTGCGGATGAGGAGGGGGGGGGGCGGAGGGGGGTGGAGGGGGCGGAGGGGCGTAGGGGGCGAAAGAGGGGGGTAGGAGGAGGACGGAGTACAACCTCCACGCCACGCAGACACAACTTCGGATGTGTCAACCGAACTGCAGAAGTAATTGCAACTCGGGCTATTCTGCACCGGCTATCTCGCTACTTACTACACCCTCCCCCCCCCCCCCCCCAATCAAAAAAAAAAAGAAAAAAAAAAAAAAAAAAAAAAAAAAAAAGGCCGGTGAATTCCATAAAATCCTATAGCTTATTACTATAGGATTATATGGAAGAAAATTGTTTTTAGAAGCCATAACCTGGGTAACGGTCTCCTTCATCAAACGTAGGATATTACGTAGGATATTGCGAACAGGGGGGAGGGAGGGAGGCAGAAGGAAGTGAGGGAAAAAGAGGAGGGAGAGGAGGGAGAACAGAAGAGGGAGGGAGAAGGAAGGAGAGAGAAAGATGTGAGGAAAAAGGAAGAGGGAGACGGAGGGATAGAAGGGAGGAGGGAGTTAGGAGGAAGGGAGAAGAAAGTTGGGAGAAGGAGGGAATGAAATAAGGGGGAGAGAGAGGGAGAGGGGGACGAGAGAGAAAAAAGAGAGAAAGAGAAAGAGAAAGAAAGAAAGAGAAAGAAAGAAAGAAAGAGAAAAAGAAAGAAAGAATGATACAAAAAGAGAGAGAGAATAAGCTTTCCAAAGGAGTGCACACGTACAGACAGACAGACAGACAGAGAGCGATCGGCAGGCGCGTCTCCAAGCCCACGCACAGATAACGAGCAAGTGCAACATTCCCCCTTAGCGACATAGCGCTATCATGGCCACACACACGCACTAATCATACTGCACGGCTAATACACACATACGTACGCGCGCACGTAGGCTCGCACGCACGCACGCACGGGACACTCCTTCCTTTCTATAACAACGGTGACCTCCCCCTCCCTTCCCCCCCCCCCAACATTCTAACAGACTCGCAAGCAGGTTGAGCGACGGACACGCGACACTGCTGCTGTTGGAGAGGCCCTTCCCCCACTCTCCCTCTCCTCCTTCCCTCTTTTCTCCCTCCTCACAATCTCTTCCTTCTCCCCCCACCTCCTCCTCCCCACTCCTAATCCCTCCACCCTCCCTTCCTCCCCCATTTCCCCTCCACCCCTCCTCCCCACCTTCCGTCCCCTCCTTCCCTCCCCCCCCATTTCCCCCCTCCACCCCTTCCCCCCTTCCCCTTCCCCTCCTCCTCCTCCCTCCCACCCCATTTCCCCCTCCACCCTTCCCCCCTCCCTTCCCACCTCCTCCTCCTTCCCTCCTCCCCATTTCCCCTCCACCCCTCCTTCCCCACTTCCCTCCCTCCCTCCTTCCCCACCTCCTCCTCCCTACCCTCCCTCCCTCCCTCCTCCTCCCTTCCCACTCCTCCTCCTCCGACCTCCCTCCCCCATTTCCCCCTCCTCCCCACCCCTTCCCCCTCCACCCTCCCCCTCCTCCCCCTTCCCCTTCCCTCCTCCTCCCGCTTCCCCCTCATCAATGCAACTTAATATGAACACACTTCGGGTAATATAGACTTCTCGAACGGTCATCAGGACACAAAGATAAATCAATGAGTGAGGTCATGTGCGCGTGGCTTGGATTGGGTGGGTGGGGGGTGGGGGTGGGGTGGGGGAAGAGGGAAGGGAAGGGGAAGGAAAGAAGGGAGAGGGAGAGAGGAAGGAAAGGAGGGGGAAAAGGGGAAGGAAAAAGGGAGGGGGAGGGAATGGACAAGGAAGAAGGGAGGGGGAGGGAATGGAGAAGGAAAGAAGGGAGGGGGAGAGAGGAAAGGTAGGTGGAGAGGGGTAGGAGGGGGATGGAGCAGGAAAAGAGGATGAGAAGGAGAGGGGAAGGGAGGGGGAGAGGAATAGGAGAGATCAGGAAAGGGAAAAGGGGGGGAAGGGTGGTGGGAAAAGGGAAGGAAAGGAGGCAATTGGGAAAAGGAAGAATGAAGGGAAAGAGAAAGAGGAGGGAAAGAGAGAATTAGAATTGGGGAGCACTCAAGGAAGTGAGAGAGAGGAGGGGGGGAGAAAGCGATAATAGAGGAGGGAGAGAGAGCGAATGGGAATAAAGGCACAGCCAATTAAGGAAGG